GAAACCCCATCTCTACAAAAAATTGTTAAAAATTAGTGGGCATGGTGGTGGGCACCTGTGATCCCAGCTACTTGGAAGGCTAAGGTAGGGTTATCACTTGAGCCTGTGAGATCAAAGCTGCAGTGGGCATGCCAAGCATGCCAGGCATGGTGGTACATGCCTATAATTCTACCTACTTGGGAGACTGAGGCAGAAGGATCACTTGAGTTACAAAATTCAAGGTTACAGTGAGCTATATATATACATATACAGTGTGCTATATATACGTGTGTGTGTGTATGTATATAGGTATACCTATATACGTGTACCACTGCACTCCAGCCTGGGTGACAGAGTGGAGACCTTGTCTCTAAAAGAAACTAAGAATATTTAAAGGTTTGTCCATGTTTTACCTAAAATAACTTTGTATACTACCAGTGGCACTTTGGACTGCTTCGGTGTTGATAAAGCACCTTCATGTTCGTGGTCTTTTTAGATCCTTTTAATGACCCATAAAGATGTGCAGAATCATCCCCATTATACAGATGAGAGAACTGAAGCTTGGAGAAGTGGCATTCCTAAGAATACAAATCACAGGTAGTTAAGCCAAGTCCCAACCCTGGTCTTCTATTCTAAGTTTAGTACTCCTTACATTATACCATTACGCAACAACAGGACTTTGTAGAAATGGAATGGGGAAGTAAAGAATGAAAAGGGGAGCTTGAGGTCAACTGTCATCTCTGTTATGAGATCTGTGATGTGGCTAGTGCTCCATGATTCTTTGACGTTCACAACAGCTCTGCTTCAGCAATAAGGAACAGAAAAGAATTCACAAAAAGAGGTGTTATCAAGATTAAAGCCTGCGGAAAAATTTAACATCATCTCCAGTTAACCAGCTCTATTTAAAAGTGATCCAGGATCACTGATCCAGGTTCTTCGAATATGTACTATACCTGTCTTTCACAGGTTGGTTTGGCGGCCTGAAAGTTTTATACCTTCTTTTGTCAGACTTAAAGTTTCTTCTGAGATACATGAGGTCCCACTGTGCTGACACCAAATCAAAAACTTAAATAAATTACCAAATGTGTAATATGGGCCTTCTGAACAAAATAAGCAAATAAGCAACCAGAGATTCATTCTTGTTAAAAAAAAAAAAAAAAAAAAACTCTTAATCATCCATCACATAATAGTATCTGGCTTTATGAATATGTTTCTATCTGCACTGAACAAACCATAAAACGGTTTATGTAGAAGAGTTATTATAACTAGAAATTTTAAATGAAAGAAGAGTTTTTAATAGTCAAAAAGTGTTGGTAGGGCACAATGGCTCACGCCTTTAATCCCAGCACTTTTGGAGACTAAGGCAAGCAGATTGCTTGAGCCCAGGAGTTTGAGATCAGCTTGGGCAACATAGTGAGACCCCTGTTTCTACAAAAAAAAATTTTAAAAATAGCTGAGCATTGTGGCACACACCTGTGGTCCCAGCTACTCAGGAGGCTGAGATAGGAAGATCACTTGAGCCCAGAAGGTTGAGGCTGCAGGATTGTGGCATTGCATTCCAGCCTGGCAAACAAAGCAAGATCCTGGAATGAACGGAAGGAAGGGAGGGAGGGAGGGAGATAGGGAGGGAAAGAAAGAAAAAGAGAAAGAAAGAAGAGAAAGAAAACGAAGAAAGAAAGAAAGAAAAGAAGGAGAAAGAAAGAAAGAGAAAGAAAGAAAGAAGAAAGAAAGAAAGAAAGAGAGAAAGAGGAAAAAGAGAAGGAAAGAGAAAGAAAGGGAAAGAAGGAAGAAAGGAAGGAAAGAAGGAAGCTAGGAAGGAATGAAGGAGGGAGGGAGAGAAGGAAGGAAGGAAGGTAAGTAAGAAGAAGGAAGGAAGAAAGGAAGAGGGAAGGAAGGAAAAAATATTTAACATTTAACACGTATATTTATACATGAATAAGTGGACTATGAATACATATAAATTCCAGGTAACTTTATGATTCTTAAATGGCATGAGTAAGGAGTTAGACCACGATGGCGAGTACTATTAGTATCATTGTTACCGGCATGAAACTGTGTGGACAGATGAGTAAAGATAAATGATAAAGCCCTCCCCTAAGTTCTCACTAAGAGAGTAAAATAATTTATGATACTCCTGGTTTGTAATTGTACAAAAATACAAGATTATAATTATAGATGAAAGTATTATCTTAGATTACTTCCTCCTTTAGTGTAAGTTTTATAAAAATATCTGTGTGTGTTTAACCTTTTTAATGTTACATTTATGTATTTGATTTCCTGGTACTTTTTTAAATTTACAAGTTAGCTAAGTAGTTTACAAGGGAGTGTTCATTAAATATGATTTCTATTTAACTAGAAATTGAATTTATTTTGTTATTATCTGGTACCATTTTTGGTTGGTATCTTTAAAGTTTCTTGAATATTTTTCAAATGTATGATTATTTCCCCAGAAAACACACTCTTCATATATATTTCACAGTACAGTAAAATGCTAAAATCCTGAAACAAACTAAACTTTCTTCTGAATATGTATGATCTTGTTATACCAGAAATGCACAGTGGTATATATCTTATTTATGTTTAGTTTCAGAAAGACTATCTTTGCTTTCTTTTTCGAGGTCATTTAATTCTTTATAAATAATATAGTTTAGTATAAGTTTATTACAGCCTTAGAGGCAGATTTAAATGACGAAACCATGGTAGAGTATTAGTTCAGGAAAAAAAATTCCTGGAAAATTATTTAAGCATAAAAAAATTTGAATATAAATTTGGCCAAGTTGTCATCTAAATTTTGTAGAAATACAATTTTAAATAATTTGACCTAAATTTTTGAGTGTGCCTGTGTGTGTATTTTATATACATATGTGTGTGTGTGATTTTATATATATAAATGCTATATATATAAAATGACTGTATATTTCAATATTTGTTGGAGTTGGTATCCTGGAGAGAGGTTGAGCACTTTGGAGTCAGACCTGAGTTTCAGTTCTGGCCATGTTATTTAAATGCACCAAGCCCCACCTGTAATAATACAAAAGTAATACTAGTTTGCAGTAGTATCATATTAAATGATAAAGTAGTGCCTTTTACATAGTATATACACAAGAAATGTTTTTACTGTCCCTTATTCCATAATTAATTAAAAATAAAAATTGAAGACTCAAAAAAATAGTTTGACCTAACTTTGTTTTTTAAATTAAGACCAACAGGGTAAGTTTTAATTGGCTGTGTCTTGCTTTGTTTCATTGTGAATCTGCATTCCGTGACTTGATCAATCCCTTCTGAGATTCCCCACTACAAAGTCTAATAGAAGTTTGTTATATAGCACAGCTTCTTTCCTGCTGCTAAGAAGCTTATTTAAATATAAGTGGAGTCATTTATTGATTACAAAAATGTAATAGGTAAAACGTCTTTCATATCTTCTTCGTGTGAGTGAATACAAGATGGAGGCTAATTGCTAACATGAAATGTGAAAGTGCATCCGGCACATTTTTTTTTTTAAAACAACACTTGGTTACATTCAGCTCACTTTAGCTTTTCCAGTGGTACCAGCAACCCAATAGGACACTTTTCTTGATGTGAAGTGTTATTGGAACAAAGTTGTATCTTGTACTGACACACAGTGAATTGGGTATGTATGAACTTATGTGTATAAGACATTTGGATTCCTTCGGGCAAAATACAAAAACATGAAAAGGAAAACGTTTCTATTATTTGACTGTTTTTCTCACTGGATATTAGAAATGCTTGTTTTCAGACTTAATAATGACAGCCTTTTGTTAATCATAATTGTGTTCTAGATTTGAAGGGGACATAGAGAAGTTATTTCTAAGCAACATTCATGAGTCAATCTTGAAGTTACAAAGACAAAAAATAATAATTTCCTTGCTTATTAGTGTTTATGTATTTACCCATGAGGCATTTTGTTTAACTCTGTATTTTTATATAACAGTGGCTTGGGGTTTGGAGGAGAAATGGGGGTAAAGTGGCTGGATTTTACCCCAACTCAATGACTGAGGTACTTGCCTTGAAACTACGCTTACACAGCAACCAACACTATTTTTACTTAGATTGTGTATGCGTGTGTGTGTATGTGTGTTTACAGAATAAAAATAGCCATATTTTTCTAAAAGTGTTTTTATTCCCAAGTCACATAAAGCTTTCCATTATAATTATTAATTGTTTTTATTGTGGGGAGGTGGCTTCAAGAACCATGATAGAGATTCTCAGGGGTGTGTGGCAAGGCTGCACCCTCCCCACACGCACACATATCCCACCACACTTGGTGACTGACTTCTGTTGAAGTAGCAGACCACACACAGACTGGCAGCGATAAAGCAAGACAGGACAGAGGACACACCCACAAGGCATAGCAACACCCTCTTCTCACGTTTTATGGCCTCTGCAAAGCCAACTGTGTACTGGGTCATGATCATTGCTGTATGCTAGGATAAGTATTCAACAAGACTTATCACATCTTAATTCTCACAGCAATTCTAGCAGGAAGGTAGGTATTATTGTCCTCATTTTACAGAGGAGGAGTCTGAGGCTCAGAAAATGTGTTTTACTCCTACTAGGAAGTGAAAAGGTAGGATTCAAACTTTGATCTGTTGGCTCCAAAGCCCATTCACTTCACTAATTACCGCTCTTGTCTTCCCCTGATACTGATATCACAGTAATCTGATACTACAGATTTGCAGTTGCTAAGAAAGTGAGCCAGGATCTCTGATTTTTATGATGTTGGTGAGTTGAAGGTTGTTTAAATTCCAGGTGTTATTCCCAAAATATTATTTTCAAAATGTTGACAATTTTAAAGCCAAACAGCTTTTCATGTCTGTTGATGTTGCAGGCTGGAGCCACAGAATCAATCTCTAATGAGGACAGAAGATTTGACAGGGCAGTGAAGGTTAAGGCTCCCCTCCCCTCCAGTGCAGCACCTGCTAGTATGGCAGGAAAGTAAAAACCGAGTTTAACAATTGCAGGTCTGGGTAATGTGGTTTGGTCTTCATACCTTCACTCAGGTGGAGCCCGAGAAGTTGAAGACACTAACAGAAGGTTTGGAAGCCTACAGCCGTGTCCGGAAAAGGAACAGAAAGTAAGCACTTTTTAAAACTTTCACTTTATTTTTCAAGGATATAATTTACTGTTTTTCCAACAAAAGGATAATGAAATCTCACTGATTCTGTCCATGTTGTGGCCTGCCTAACTAAAGTTTAATATTTACCAACAAAGAGGACCATTATAGACAAGCCGAATTAGTGATTACACAAAAAAATTCTCTAAACAATTTCTGTTTACACTATGTGTAATATTTGCCTCTTCTCTTTCCTCATTACCTGCATCTCTATTCCTCTCATTTAGTGGAAAATAAAAAATAATATTCTTAACATATAGCAATTAAATAGGCTCTGAAAGTGTAGTGAGTCAATCCCTTTGCAATTCAAATACTTTCAGGGGTAAATACCCCTAGTCGTATACATGCAAATAATTTTGGGAGATTATTTGTCAAAGTGATGCTAAATAAAGGTTTTTTTGTTGCATCAGCATTGTGGACTTGAAAGTAAGCTTTCTTTGGAATTATAACAAGAAGTTGAATTTCAGGCCAGTATTCAAGTTTTTCTAAATCTTTGTTTTCTGAGTAAATGTAGTATGATGTAGTGCAGACAAACAGATAATATTAGAAACACAGTTTTTACTGTGATACAATGTACATTCATATATCATATTGAGGTAGAGAACTACAAGTGTGCTTCTCTGTATGTACCTAGACAGCTATTTTAAAATGTGTAAATTGATATACCTGTTCAGTTGCTATAATAATTTCCGTGTTATCAAGCAACCAGGAATTATATATGAATTAATTTTTATTCATTTACAAAATGATCCTCACATTTCCTTCCAAATATTAACACATAGGCTTAATGTTTTTATATATTATCGTCTTTCTAAAAATACCATTTTAACTTCTGTTTGTACATTAAGACTTATAAAGTGGAGATCAGAATGATTCATAGTGGATCTTGCATAAAAGGCTTATATAATGATATCAGTAATATCTATTAAAAAGCAATGTCTTTCCCTTTTGGTGTTTCCCATAATGCTGGCCAGAGGCATAATTTTAGAAGTTAACGAATCTTGGGAAGACGCTGCACCTCAATAAAAGGTCTCTGAAAAGATGACAGCTACAAAGGGCAAACCCCTACGTCTCTATGTCCTGGACTCCTTTGGAAGGCAGCAAATTGGTACTAATTGTGTCGAGGGCCAAACGAATTGCCAGATAACATCCCTCTAGTCCTGATGAGGAAAACAGGGATCAAGCTCCCTTCCACTCTTACTGAGGCACACTTGCTGTGCAGAGCTTAGCAACAAAATAAAGCCACTAAAATTAATACAAGGTCTGGATAAAAGGAGGAAAATTGCAAATTACCTACATCACAAATTTGCATTGGGCCAGTTGCTGTAAAATATTCAACAGTACCCATTTCTTTGGTGTAAAAGATCCCTAAAAATGTTTCCTACAGTGCAACATGCCAGATACTTGGATTATGTACAAACTAAAGTTAATAACAGAAATAAAATAACTCTTCCAAATATTCAAATACAGTCCAAATATTCAAACGCATTGCCTTGAAATGAGCTGGATTTTCCCCATGTGTTTGTAATTAAGCAATTTCTGAAAGGTAATGAGTAACAAACCACAATTTAAAATTTTTTCTTCAAAGCCAATTTACTATTTGCAGTAAATTAAGGTGGGTGCTATTTAAAGGAATTCTCCTCATGATAACCATAAACTTAGAGTACAGATTGAAGAGGTAAAAGTAGAAAATACAAAGCTAACGTTTATAAAAGGAACTTTATTTACCATACTATTGTCTAAGCAGACAGATTTTCCTTTTTGATGCCCAGTAGAATGCTTTACATTTTGCACATGTAATTGCAAATTCATCATTTTATTCTCCCAGTCACAAGATGGGCCAAAATTACTGAGCCCATTTGCAGATGTGGACACTCAGACTCAAATAGTTTAAATAATTAGTTGAAAATCCCACAACTGATAAATTATATGTTGAATCAAATCATTTTTTAATTTAGGCATTTATTCTCAATTTAAGGAGACAAATTTAGCAAAAAATCTGTGCCAGGAACAGTGCTACAGTTCCTAAAGCTCATTGTTTAGTAAAAGAGACAAATGCAGAAACAAATAATTAAAATGTTAAAATTGCAATGACAGCAATATATATACTATATTTTGGGGTCATAGGGAAAGGGCAGGTAAAGGAAGGGATTCTAGAGGAGTCAATATCTGCCCCAAGCCTTAAACACTACCTAGGCATCAGCCACACAAAGGAAACAAAGACCAAGATGTGATGGTATAGTGTTTAGATGAGAGCAGCAGTTGGATTTGGGGGACAGTAAAATATCAGATGGAAAGTTGTAAGAAGGACACACAGGAACCAGATCATGAAGGGTCTAGTAAGGGCCAGTAGGATATTTTATTGTTTTTGAAGTGCCTAAAGGGGGCAGGTGGTTGGATTTTCACCTTAGGTAT